TAGTGTTGCCGCCTTTGGCTCGGATAATTGTCTTAATTCGTTGTGGCATTGATCCAGATTTTCTGATAGGGATTTTTTCATATTCGTCTTAGCATTAATCCCAAAACTCTTGGAGATTCGATGGTTTTCATTGAAGAACATGTGTCATCAGTTCGCAACAAAATGCTTCAATTATATTGAGATCAGGACTTTCTGTTGACCAATCATTTAAACGTTGAATATCTTCATCCACAAGAAACCTTTTAGTTGCACGTAATGTGTGGCAAAGAGCACCACCATGCAGAAAAAATCCACATTTTTTATTCATGACAGAAGATTAGACAATAGTAATTATAGTTTTCGATGTTTGGATTTCCATCAACTTTTAACAATTTTTCTCTACCATCATTTTGACGCAACTTCACCTTACAATCATTTTAATAAGATGGAACAATTCCTACTTAAAAATTTGTATATTATCGTGACTTTATCATCTAAACCTTTCATTGATCCAATAATTTTACATGACCTTTTTTTGTTATTTTGCTTGGAGGCTTGTAACATTTTTAAACTGAATCGTAAATCAGAGACAGTATCCTTTTCGGATGAATTTTATTTCTGTTAAAACTGAAACCGATTTTAATTGATCCTTGTATATCAATTTCAAATTTTGTTACGATCCAAAGTTTTGCTCACACCATCCAAAAGCATTTCTCATTCTTCATCCCAAGCTAAAAATTTTGGACGGAGTCTTCGTCTTTTATAAGCTCTACTGGTCTCAACATCATCTCTTTGCCACGTGATGGAATTAGTAAAGATTAAATGATCTCACTTTTGGTAAAGCTTTTTTGGCAGTTTATCTATAAAATCAGCGGATTTCCGATGCTTAGTTTCTGACTGGCAATATTGGATTAAATGAAAACCAATATTTATTCAGTATTTATTTCTGATATACATTATATATATATATATATATATATATATATATATATATATATATATATATAATATATATATAAATAAATAAAGGAAAGGAAAGAACAGACAGATTAAAATCTACCGTTCTTTAGTTAGCATTTACCTTTCTTTTTAAAAAAGTGCTCAGTATAACGTAGAGCAAAATATATTTTAACGTAAAATTTTAGATTAATATATATATATATATATATATATATATATATATATATATATATATATAGAGAGAGAGAGAGAGAGAGAGAGAGAGAGAGAGAGAGATCTGGCATTCCTAGTGTAGCTCTTTTGTTTGATTCCGGTCGCCACGAGACTTGGTATGAAGTATACAATGTACAGAAGCAGTGCGTAGCCATATTCCACAGCTTACCAACATTGAGCTGTGTTTGTTGGTGTGCCTGCAGGAAATAGAGTGAACTTTTCCACATATTCCATAAATGCTCAATGGCCTTTAAATCTGGTGACGATAGAAGTACAATACGCTGAAGTCTGCTGAATGTTCCAGGAACGGTTTGTGTGTCAATCCAGTATCATAAGAAGTTGCGTTATGTTGTTGGAAAAAGCCATAACCATTGGTAAATATTGCAGGCATAAAGGGATGCAAGCATTTGGAGGAGACAATCTTATCTATTCCCCCCATCAGGCTCGAGCTAAATATTTTAGTCGGGGTCGAGTGTGATTTAAAACTTTTTTTTTTAAATCAAGCTGGCAGGATGGAAGTTGTTGAAGGTACATAAAAGGATCTGTTTTGCCAGATAGCCCAGTACACACCAGTGAGTGTTACGAGGAAAGAGTCTTATTTAATACTTTTCACTTTCTCTATTTTAGCAGTTCTCCTGTCTCGATGTTGAAGCACATAAATAAATCGATCGTTACAGATAACCAAACGATTTCTGAATTGTCTGGAAGTACAAGTCGTGTCATTTAATATCAGGTTAAGTTCTTGCCAAAATTGTGTGCAATTTCAGCTATTATTTTCAAAGAAAGAGGACAGAAGTTAAGAGATAGCTAGTGGAGCGTTGGTTAGTCGTTTCGAGTTTAAAATGAATGTTAATTCCTTTGCTATGTTGGTGGAATAGATTTTGGCATTACGTGACTAAAACAGATTTTTGGCATTAAATTTATCAAACAACTTACCAAAAGTCTTGTAGCACAGTCCTTAACAGTTCTATAATAATAATAATAATAATAATAATAATAATAATAATGATTTGTGTGTATGTTTGTATGTTTCAATTTTCCACATACATCTACTACTTCGATAAAAGCCCGATTCTGTGGCTTCCAATTTGGATATTTTCTGTTAATTCGCCCCAAATAATGTAAAGTTACTTATCACAAATATTAATTCATCCCAAGAGATTATAAATTTTAAATCGAAGTTTTTGGGGGTTTTTTTTTACTAATTTTTTGGCACTCTTTGGAAATTATAAATTTTAAATTCAAATTTGTTTAGCTTGTCTCACAACTCCAACCCTCATTGTATGAATTTTTGGTATTTGTTTCAGTAACAGTAACCATGTTTTCGCAACCATTTTTTTACCAAAGCAATTTGATTGCATTTTCTAAGAACCAATAATACAGAGTGTTAGAGAAAAGCAATAATAACAAAATTGCAATATGAGCTCTGGTATAAAAATAGTTACTGAGACATTAAGTTTATAAATCTTAAAAATTCCTACACTGATGTCCTCAAGGACACATGGCTCAGTGGATGAAAGTGTTGTTTGGATCCAGTGACTTGACACAAAGAGTTGTGAACAAAAACTTGGAGAGTTGAAATAAAGGAAAATAACTTAAACATACGAAAGAGGCATAACACGTGGAACTAGAACAATCTTCCCGGAGTGACGAAGTTTCACTCACCAGTTCGAAATTCCAATCACCTGAAGAAAGTCGGAGCGTACAACGGCCTAAACGTCGTGAATATGGCAACAAAGATGAGGACAACACTCCGAACAATGTAAATAGTGTAAATAATTACAATACCTCATCTCAGAAATCTCTTGAAAGATTAATTTTATATTTACCATACTATAAAAATATGTGAATATTCAAATTGATTGGCAATATGTAAATATTAATTAATTTATAATTAATATAATTACAATAATTTTATTTATTTATATTTAATTGGATTATTTACAAGATTATAAAAATATGTGAATATTCAAATTGAGTAGCAATTAATCGAAGTTTTGGTAATCATTCCAAAGACAATATTTTTAGATAAAATAACAATGATTGAATTTTTTTTTTTTTTTTTAATTATGTTTTTCAAAAAAGAGTAGGAAAGTGGTTAATCTATTATTTCTGGAACCTCAGGTCTTGGATTATTCTAATGATTAAGCATCCTCCATTCTAGATCATGATTATAAAATAAATTCGGAAAATTAAAGGAAGAAATATTTCGAGAATAAAATATATAATGTTCAGAAAGATCAAAGTTTTATTCAAATTTTCTTGTTCTTTATTTCATAGACATTTTTTTTAAGTCATGAATAAAAATATTCTTTTCATATTTTTATTTCTTTATAAAAGGATAAAATATTGCATTGCAGTTGATCTCTATATTTTTTAAATCTTGCAAATATAAAATTAATCTTGTAAATAAACAATCTAACAATTATTAGTGTGTAATATTTTTGTTGTTATTAAAATTCTAAACATAGTCCTTTAAAACAATAAACATTACCGAGGGAGTCTAAGTAATATACGGGAATAGCGGTGTCAAGAGGAAAAAATGTCCTTTTGACAAACCTTTTCCTTTTCGGGTACGATGGTTAAACTCTGGAGAAAAGTCAGTTTTAGGATTTCAAAGTAATTTTCGATTCAAGATTTTGCGTAACGTTAGTTAAAATTAAACTATATTTGATTTTGTTCTATAAATTTATATGCTGTCTGACACAGCGACACATATGTGAGTATTTAATTTAAAAACGTTAAATGAAGTTTTTATACAGGACTCATATTCAGATTATGAATTTCGTAAAATGTCCATCGTTGCTTTCGACTTCTAACGTCGTAAAAAAGTTACCATAAAAAATACATACCAAAATTCCAACCATTCTGTTGCCAACATTTTCGATTAGCTTCGGAGTGGTTGTCATTAAAAAAAAGACTTTTATTTCAATTATATTGAGATCATAAGTACAACAAATAATCAAATATTATTACTACAGTATTTGTTGTCTTAAATTTATGGTCACATTTTATCTTTCTAAAAACAAAAACAAAAACAAAAAAAATTATATATAAAAATTTCTTTTGAATGTTTCTTCGTTTTCAATGCGTATTCAAAAAATGAGACCCGATAAAACCCCGTTATCTTGGGAAAGACTTCATTGTATTTTTAAAGCAAGTTTTTCCAATTTTGCTGTTGAAGCAAATGAAAATTCTTTCATTTGCTTTAAAATGATTGATGGAGGCTATTTTTAAAATTTTAATGTTTTATTTCTTTTTAATGAAATGCGTCAGAAATAATCTTCTTAACAGACAAATATTCGGTTTTTTTTTTTAAAAAAAACAAAACAACTAATTTACATTTTTAAAGCAGTATTAATCCGAGTTTTTTTTCTTTTTTTAATATAATAAATAGAAAAATAAAATAACTTCGTCTCCAACAAGAGATAAAAACCGGTTTCCGCTGTCCCGGCGAAAATTGGAGTTTCGAAAGACACAGCCTCAATCATCAACGATTTGAATGAACACGACTTGAAGCTCGGCTTGTCCTGATGAAGATTATTATTTTTTCGCCGAAATGTTTTGCAAATTTTTTTCTTTTTCTTTTTAAAGTAGATGTGAGAGAGCTCTGCGCAATCGAACAACCTACAGATTCATCGAGATGTTTTTAATTTTTTTTTTTTCCTATTTTCCTGTTGTGGAGGGGAAAACGAGAAAGGCGGTGTATAAAACGACAACCCTTTAAAATTGGTGCTAAGCGTAAAAATGCATGATTTTTTTTGCCAACAGACAAAAAGAGATGATAACATTTTGAGAAACTAAAAAGCAGTTTACTCGACTCTAATTTCTTCTCAAGACATTCTGATTTACACTTCTGATTTAACTGTAAAAATACGGCGCACACTTCCGTCAGACGAGAAAATGGTCTTTGACACCACAGGATTACTGTTTATATCGATTGGAGCTGGAGTCTACAAAACAAAATAGAAAATAAATAAATACCGTTCATATTTGTGTAAATGTCAGTTGTTTTTTTTTTTTTTTTAATCAGACAGTTTTTGAGCGTTTAATTTTTTTTATACATGAATCAAAATTAACATCGCTTAAGAATAAGTTTTAATAACGATGTGCATTGCTTTATGGCCAAATATTTTAGATAACTTTGAATATATCAGAACAATGTTGGTTAATTGAATGTTAAAATAAAAAAAATCGTCCATTAAAAGAACAACAGAAGATATATTAAGAAAGGTGTGAATGAAAACTTTCAAAGTAAATACATTCAACCGTTTCCAAAGAAAATATAAAACCAGAAAAAAATAGTGCCACGACGTCAGTTCTCTCTATCCTTTCGCCAGAAAGCGGGACATGCTGGGCTACTCCACTAACTACCAAATAACTATTCAGGGCGACTGCCTGCTAAAAAAAGAGGAGGAGGAGTCTCGTCATCTCTCTCTATTATACCTTACAGAGAGCTATGATCTCTTTCACACAAGGATACAGTTTGCATTCTTAAAAAATAAAAAAATAATAATAAAATAAAATAATCCTTCCAAACACAAGGTTCGTTCAGCGTTCATTCATTTTAAATCTAAAGACCAACATTTCTACGTAACCGCCACAAACTGAACAAAAGGAAAATGTGTGTGCGTGCGCGCGATGCGCCACCTGACTGGCTGAGATTAAAAGAGAGAGAGAGAGAGAGAGAGAGAGAGACCTATTGTTTTCGCTGCTACATTCCGAAGCAAAATAGAGAAAGAGGGTTTATTGAAACAGGGGTTCTGAAACAGCGCCATCTAACGGGCGTCTTGGCAGTCAAGGTGACTGGTGTTGTCACAGTGTAAGGTATAGGGATACAAAGGGCGATTATTTCTCTTTGGTCGAGATGAATTCACGAGGGTCATGTGACGTCCACTTAGTGATGTCAGTTCATATATAGCGACGAAAGTGGCTAGTCCATCAGTCAACTTTCAGAAGTCTAAATCCCTCTTTTGTGGTAATTTCACGTATTCTTATCATCTCTCAGTTGCGTCTCTGTCCTTGGACAAAGTGCGCTCAGGGGCTTCTCTGTCAAAGGACAGAGGGGCAACTGAGGAAAATTATACTGAAGAGGTGCCCAGCCCTGGGGAACAGCTGCCCGAGGCCGCGCCCTCCCATTGCACAAGAGGGAGGGATCGGTGCTCGCACCGAGGCCAGCGCAAACTGACGGTTGCGGGGGCTGAGGGGAATTTTTGTCCCTGCCCGAGTGTACGCGCTCGGGTTCCCACATTAATCCGACCTTGTGTCACATCTCATTCTCGTGGGGGAATGAGTAAACACCGTCAACTTTCAGGAGTCAAACCGAGCAGCTTCCAGGAGTCAAACTCTGGCCAAACGGGAATTGGAGGCTCACACAGATAGCTTTTTTTTGCGTTATTATTTCACGATTAAAATGATGAAAGTATATTACAGAATATTTTATATTTTTGCCTTTCAATTCTCTATTATATGTTTTGAAACTATATATATTTAACTGTCTTTTTGTTTTTTTAATTTTTTTCTTTCATGGACACCATAGTCTTTGGAGGCTTGTTTAGAGACCAAGTTAATGACCTTTTAAGTTTCCTTCACATGAATTGCAGTAAAATTCTGAATATGTAAGAATTAATTATTACGGTGGGGGGGGCACAAGGATTTTAAAAATACCAAAGTGGGGCATGGCCCAAAATCGGTTGTGAACCACTGTTCTTTATATTTTATTAATCAGGTATAAGTTCTTTTCGGTTGCTGTTTTTATTTGTAACAATGTAGTAATGACTACAAGATCAATATCTTTATGTAAAAAGACGAGTTATTTACAAAAATAGATAAATCAAAATGTTTACGTACGCCCCAAACTTTTTCATCGCCGTATGTCCACGTTGGTGGATCAGTGACGCCACGTGGATAAAGTTTGAACAAACCAATATCTTTTACATCGGGTTCTCTGCGGCTTGCCAACACAATGCGAGGTCGGTAGGCACGTTCCAGACGCCTTCTGTAGGCATAGAGATCTTTTTGGAGATAATCAATTTCCTCCCGTAGTTTGCTTCGATTATCTCGACATTTGTTAAGGGAATCCTGTGTGCTAAAATATTAAAACAAATAAAGTCTTAGATTCCTTGTCAGTTCTCCATTGAAATTCATAAAAATTAAACTCAAACGTAAAAAAAAAGCAAAAAACAAAAAAAACGGGACTTTACTGTTGTGGTCAGCGTAGTATTGTGTTGGTCAAAACATTTGTATTATTTTTTATCATCAGATGGCATTAGGAGCGTTCAGTTTTAACTAACTACATAAAAAAGACAATTTTCATTGCATTGTGACAGTTATGGCAACTATCACAATGCAATGAAATGTTGTCAGCGTGCACTTTTTAAAATGTGTAAACTGATGTTTTTCATTTAATACTCATATATCAGAAGAATCTATATCAGAATAACAAACTTGGCTTTGAAGATGCATGATATTTGAAATTGTTAACTTGAAATACCGAAAGAGTTAAGTCAAAGTTATAAGAAAGTTTCTAATTAAGGCTATGATATATTGAAGGTTAATAAAAAAAGGCAATGGTCCAAAAATATTAATTAGAATCATAAAATGAAGGCGAGAGAAGGTGTTAAAGTAAATTGAAATAGTGTCTATGAATTTACTTCCAGGATTTGAGGCAAGCAGTACCCCCTGAAGAGTGGACGGACAGGTCTGCCTACAGAACCCTGGAGTCGGGATGATGAAGATAACATCAATCAGCTAAGTGACAAACTTGTACTCACATTAATCCTACACACACACACACACACACACACACACACACACACACACACACACACACACACACGTGTGTGTAAAATGTTTATGTATATAAATATATATATATATATATATATATATATATATATATATATATATATATATATATGCAATTTTAAATATATTATTTGTATATTATATATTCATATGCATGGTACTTTTGGAAAGCGCGCAATATCAGTGATAGAGCTAACATAACAGTGATAAAGAGTTTGTCTGACGATCGCAAATAGCAATTACAAACTCACATCAATCCAACTAAATACATATATGTGTGTGGCCTGATGATTGCGTTTAGCATAAAACATTTTGTCGCCTCTGAGTGTTGACTTCAGTGTCCAATTTTATATTTACATACGCTCTATTTCTGATATTGAGAACTTTATCCCATAAATATAGCATAACTTAAAACTATATTACTTCATATATATATATATATATATATATATATATATATATATATATATATATATGGATAAAAAGGCAATTGGAAAATAGTTCTTAGTAATTGCCAACGCGCTTCATCATTCGACTTTATCAATGCAAGTGATGGCAAATTAAAATGAAAAAGTCGAATAATCAAACAAGTCAGCAATTACTTTTCCAATTGCCTTTTTATCCAAATTTGTCATCTTCAGAATTATTCTGAGAAATTTATATATATATATATATATATATATATATATATATATATATATATATATATATATATGCAGCATATCTTCATTGAATAATATAGTCATTATTTTTATACTGATCGTTTCAGTTGTCTAATAAATTTCTTGATGCTAAAATGAAATTCATCAAGGAAGGCGCCGTTATTTTTTCCAACTCAAGTACATTCGAACTTTTCCAATATCATCTTCAGGGATAAATTACAAAGATAAACTCATTGTAACTGCGATAAAATCGACATTTTGTTGTGATGATGATTTCAAAAAAATATTACGAATACAGCAACAACATAATGTGTATATAACATTTAAATGCCATATATTTTTGCTTTTGCATATTTCATTGTTATTTATTTTGTGTTTTTACTTCGGCTCTGTATAATCTGATTTGTGTTTAAAGATCGCACTGGGGCCTGAAACTGACCATGCAGTGTTGATTCATATGTCCACACTTTATCTATCTCCCCATCTATCTATGAAAAAAAAAAAACTATCTACGAATTGCCCATATGCCGTAGACTCTTCTGATGATATAACAGAAACAGAATGTTAAACTAGATAATTTAAAAATAATTTCTTTACTAATGAGAAGTGCTGACAATTTTATAGTAACAGAACATTCTTGTCTGAGAAACCTATCTATCTATCTATCTATCTATCTATCTATCTATCTATCTATCTATCTATCTATCTATTCGTCTGTCCGTCTGTGTGTGTGTAATAAATTTCAGTACGCGTAGAACATTGACTATCATAATTAAACTCTTATGAAAAAATAAAATTTTTTGTTATTTTAAACTTGACAAATAAACGGATGGTAATTTTGTAATTGTAATGTACTTATAAAATATCAAAAATTTCTTAGCGTTAAATTAATGACATCAAAATACAGACAAACTTACACGGCTTTATCATAGCGCACCGACGTAAGAGTAATTCTGCTCATGGTTGGACTTTTTTTTGTTCACCTACTTCCGCGGGCCTTCTCGTACCTTCGACGACTGCTGCGCTCTGCTTTTAGCAACGAGTTCCTAGAGGAAAAAAAAAAAAAAAAAAAAAAAAAAAAAAAACGCATTAATAATAATAATAATAATAATCGGAAAATATTTTCAATCATTCTAAAATTCACGGGGAAGAAACAAATCAATTCGAAGAACATAACTGAAAGTCAAAAGATCGATAAATATCAACACTCTGCCGGAGAACTAAAGAAATTGTAAACGCTGTTGCACATCATTACTGGAACGCTTTATTATTTTAGAAAATTCTATCAAAATAATTCAACAATAGTGTTGAAATTGGTAAGGCTACTGAAGAAATTGGTAATACTGATGAAGTAATTAATAAGATTACTGAAGAAATTTGTAAGACTGCAGAAGTAATTGGTAAGATTACTGGAGGAATTCGTAAGACTGGTGAAGAAATTAAGACTACTGAAGAAATTGGTAAGACTACTTAAGAAATTGGTAAGACTACTTAAGAAATTGGTAAGACTACTTAAGAAATTGGTAATACTGATGAAGAAATGAATAAGATTACTGAAGCAATTGGTAAGACTGCTGAAGAAATTGGTAAGACTGATGAAAAAATTGGTAAGACTACTGAAGAAAAGGCTGTAGTTTTGAAGGGACGTGATGTCAGACGTGATTCCAGTGAAAAGGCAGAAGTTGGGTGAAAATTCATACAGTAACAATAAAACCAATAGTAATAATATCGACCACATCAGTGAAAAAAGCGATTGAATTTGTTAATTGTAAATGATATGAACACAAATCAGAGACTGTGTTTGACGATAAAAAGGAAAAGATATTAAAACGGCAAGAGGTGAGCAATTGTAACGGCATAATGTCACTTTCAAACTTTTAAATCAAGTTAATTCAATATATATATAGTTTATATATATATATATATATATATATAAAATATATAAATAAATATATATGTTTGAGATTTTTTTAATATATATATATATATATATATATATATATATATATATATATATATATATATATACCATATTTTCCGGATTACAAGACGCACTTTTTTTTCCAAAAAATACCATGAAAAATATGTCTGCGTCTTCTAAGACGAATGTAAGGCAACGCCCAGGCTCAAATAATCTTGGACGGTCATCTAATTGGCTTGACTGATAGGGACATGCATGTGTATGTTGAGTCATTACACTATAACGTTAGCTATCTAATTCGGCCTTTTATATGATATAGCCTCAGTAAAAAGTATTTCGAAGACTACGGTGTCAACAGCTCTGTGACCAATATATATATATATATATATATATATATATATATATATATTGGTCACAGAGCTGTTGTCTTTGCCACCCGGCTCGTGGACTCCAGACAGGTACCATATACGCCAGTTGGATGTTTTCCATAAAATTTGTTTGCGTGCAATGTGTGGAGTTAACCTTCAAGATAGGACATTTAACGTGGACCTGTTTGACAGGTGTAATATTGGAGGAATCAAGACCTTTCTCATACAGTCTCAGTTACGGTGGACTGGTCATGTCTTGAGAATGTCTGATGACAGGATTCCTAAAATTCTAATGTACAGCTAGCTAGATCAGGGCTACAGGAATGTAGGAAGCCCATGGCTAAGATATAAAGATAAGCTGAAAAGCAACTTGTCAGCTGTCAGATCCTCATACGTCGAAACCGACGGGAGAGCCCATTATATATATATATATATATATATACCGTATTTTCCGGCTCACAAGACGCACTTTTTTAAAAAAAAAAATATCCTGAAAAATATCTGCGTCTTCTAAGACGAATGTAAGGCAACGCCCAGGCTCAAGTAATTTTGGACGGTTACCTAATTCGCTTGACTGATAAAGACGAGTCATTACATTATAGCGTTAGCTATCTATCTAATTCGGCCTTTTATATGATGTAACTTCAGTGCTTAGCTGTTACAAGTATTTCCAAGACTATATAAACCTTCCTGGAGCCGAGCCACAAGCATAAACATGCCCCTGTTTGCTAGCAGCCGCGGAAGCCTTTCTGCGCTTGACTAGTATGTCATTGGTATACAAACAAAAAATCGGACGAATGATTAATGTAAACAATATGTGTTATCAGTATGTAAAGAATTCATGGTAAATGTGTTGTTGCATGAGAATTACTTTTTTTCTTAGGAATATTTCCAATATTAGGGTGTGTCTTCCATGCCGCAGCATCTTGTAAGTCGCCAAATACGGTATATATATATATATATATATATATATATATATATATAAAAGTGAACATAGAAGTCAACACTTAGAGGCGACAGTCTGTTTCATGCTATATGCAATCGTCAGGCCACATATGCTGTTATTTTTCTCGGCTATTTATATATATACGGGTTAGTGGTGCATTGTGGGTATTCTATTATGGCGGTTATTTTTTACCGGAAGTCGCTTTGTTTATTTATTTGGGTCAAATTATATTGCTCGTTTTTATTTTTTGTTTCTTATTTTATATATTTATTTCTTAACGTAGTAAAAATTTGTTTATATCACGTATTTAACAGTTTTGTTTTGGTTTGAGAATTTAATTCAAGCTATTTGTTCAATTTTGGGGTTGGTTGTTGTAGTTCATTCTAACTATTATTTTTTTTGGCGGGAACAGTTTTTAATTTGGGATTGGTTTGTCTATTTACTTGGATGAATTTAGGTCAATTTATTTGTATATTTTTCTTTTCGGTTTTCGGTTTTTAAGCAATATAGTATTTATTTATTTATTTTATTTTATTTTATTTTTATTAGTGTATTTGTTTTCGTTTTTTCCGTTTTTCATTTTTTAGGTTACGTAGTAAAAATTTATTTTCATGCCTGCATTTTGAGATGAGCTCGGATCTTTTATTTAATAATTTATTTTGATCGGGGAAAGTAATGATAGCTATTTTTTCCTCCAAGCAAAGTTTGCAAGTTTTTGATTGGTTGTTGTAGGCTGATGACTTTTTCCTTATCTTCCAAGATATTTTTGGTGTGATGTGCGTTTTGTTTTTTATTTCCCAGATATACTTAGAAAGCATAGTACTGTTCGCATATTTACTATTTGTGAACGATGTTTTGTGTCTCTGATATTGAGCACTTTATCCCATAAATATAGCACACCTTAAGACTATATTTCTTTATATATATATATATATATATATATATATATATATATATATATATAGACAGATAGATAGAAATATAGATATAGATATAAACATAATTTAGAAAAGAAGAGAAATGTACTTATATATGTGATTAATTGTAGTGGATATATTATTGTAGTCACGCGAATTTTTTTTCGGAACAGGCGATAGTGTAGCGTGTTTATGCGACATGTGCTATTCCTGAGGAATTAAGCTCGCCAGGGAATAAACTAGACGTGTCTTTTCACCATGGTTGAGGCGAGAGAGAGAGAGAGAGAGAGAGAGAGAGAGAGAGAGAGAGAGAGAGAGAGAGAGATGCGGCTGCTTGAGTCCTTTATGGTTTTATACAACGCCACCTAGCGGATGTTAAGTTAAGTTCCTTGACAGATTTTAAATTTAATTCTATAATTAAATTTAAGGTTTAGTTTCTGTTTTTGAAACATGGTAATTCCTGTGTAGCGATGGAACCATATTTTTAAATTAGTATATATATATATATATATATATATATATATATGCCATTGCCTGTAGGCATCTCTTGAATGAAAGAAGAAATCGATTGTCAAAGTTATTTAAATAGGTGTTTTGATTAAATTTGCTGGATGCAAATTTTACCAGATGCCATAGTTATGTCAGCCTTGTTATTGGCATAGATATTATAAAAGATCAGCTTCTTTCTCGGCAAACATTTCCTCTAAACATCATGGCGACCAAATACACAATCTAAGTAGACGTAGGTGGCAACTCCTGCCGATGAAGTTAGTAAGTAAAATAGGTTTTCGACAGGTGTAAGTAAGATTTGTTTTCATCAGTTGGCCGTTTGATGGCATATACATGTAAGAATATGTAAACTTGTGCCAAAAATTGTTTATATAACCCATTAATCCATACGCCATTTTTAAAGATCGACCGCCGAGGAATATATTCAAAACTCGGTTATTTTCCCTTTTTTATATAGATGCGATAATAAATTTAAGTCATTGTTTTTATTTATTGTTTCAATGTGTCTTATCTCCGGCTCTTTGATTGGTTCGTTTTCTACCGCCTTTATCAACCCTTTGCAGGTTATTTAAAGCCAGAAAATATTTTTGATTGTAAGAAATTGTTTTTAGATAATAATGGTTTAATAATACAAGTTTTACTAATTAACCCAGAGCTATGGGGAAGAGGTGGGTTCATGCCTTTCCCAAGGGTATTTGCGCGAATGTGAATATAACGAACTCAACTGAAATTGGAACTCGGCTCTCCGATTAGCAATTGCGAGCCATTATACATTACACCACCTGCACATCCAAACTTACATCACCTGGTATTCTCAAGCGGTCACCCATCTAGATACTGACCAGGCTCAACGTTGCTTAACTTCGGTGATCGTATGGTAACCAGTGTTTCAATATGATGTAGCTGTAATCCGCCTTGGCTTTGCATCGACCTTTTTACGTGATTATCTGTGTCTGTCCGTCTGTCTTGACTGTCTTGTCTGTCTGTCTGTCTGTTTGTATCAGGAGTACTCAGTTATTGAGTACTCAAACCGAAGATACGCGAAAGAAATTCAAGAGGTACTTGATCAAATATTCTTGGTACTTGGACCTTTATTGTGGTTGATCTTTTAATGCTGAAAGCATGCGGCACCCAGTGAGGATCGAACTCACTAGCTGGTGGCATTGTTGTCCTGAGCCGCCTCTTTTTCTTTTTTTTTTTTATCACGGCCTTGTACAAGACTAAGTTATACGTAGTAAATGCCTTCCCAAGGTTCCTGTTACGGAATGGTGTTTAGTAAACTCACAAACTAGTTCTAATGAGTTCGATCTCGACTAGATGCACTAAAATTGTGGCCTTGTTCCAGTTTAAGAGAAACTGAAGAAGTATTTTCACATGAATATTT